TATATATATATTAAAAATGATGAACTGGTATCAAAGACTGTTTGGTCATTTTGCTATCGTTATGACTACAGAACAGGTTTTATCAAAAAGATTTAAAGCTGCATACTAACAATGTAGCAAGCAAACTAGAATAGGCAAACACTGCACTCTAACATTACAATGGGAGTGCTCTAGTTTGCTGCGTCGCTTGCAGTGTGGGTGGGTCGAACCTCTTCTGACCCTGACCCCAAATAAAACCACAAGCAGTTGCTGTACCTTTAGTGCGCGGTGCAGAGGCGGAGCTGACAGTTGAGGCTAAAGAAAAGCGGCGTGTAACCTCTGTCTCCTTAGGCGTGGGTTCTGAAGTGAAAGGAGGGGGTGAGTTAGTAGTTAGTCTGATTTAAGAGAAAACAGGATGAAGTGGTGAAATGAGAGACAGGATGATATATGCGAAGAAAATCTATCTGAGGTGGATTAAAGTTAGCTATGTTTAGCAATGGTGCTCACATGTGTGGTAGAGTTCGAGCCTCGTGTCATTTCTCAATACTGTCTTTCCTATTGTTCTCTCGCTCTACTTTCCTTTCTACCAAAATAAAGTGATGACAGTAGGCCATCTAAAGCAGTTTCCACCGCAGGAACTTTCCCCAGGAACTAGGGACTTTGGGCGGTACTCGGTGTGTTTCCACTGCAGGAACCAGGATCTAAATAAAGTTCCGGGTTAAAATTTGCCCCTCAGAAAGTCCCTGCTCGCGAGGTAGTACTTTTCTAAAGGTCCGGAACTTGGGCGCTGAGCATGCTGATAGGTTGAGTTCACACAGCACTGTATTTCAACCACCATATATTAGCATAATTTTTAAAAATATTACTGTTATTATGACATGAATTGTAGTTTTAAAAGTATTTCAGGTGAGAATGTAGTTGTTTAAAACTCAAACCTGCAGTTTATTTATAAAGACAGCGCCTATTTGAAAATGTGCTTCGCCGATTTTGGAGACGTGAGCTGCCTCAGTGCTTCTGTTTCCCGACGAGAGCAGCCTCAACTCGGCTAGTCCTTCTGACATTTGCCGCTGCTCTGATGTGTAGTGGTTGGTTAAACATAAGATATAATTCGTTTTGGGTAAATCTAACAGGTCATCTTTGGTCTTAATTCTATTAATCTATTAATATATGAAAATTAAAAGAGGCAATACTGTTTGATATAATATTTAGTTTCATTGTAATGTATGTACGTTCCCTGAACTACATTTCTGCGGCTATTATATGTTTAAATGAAAACGAAAAGAGGCAGTGGTGTTTGATATCATATTTCGTCTTATTGTAAATAAAGTGAGGAAAATTGCAGTAGCCAAGGTGAGCTGACTGATGTTATCAAGTAAGCTGCTGTTTGCAGAATTACCGGACTTGCGTAGTCCCGTCCGCGGGAGTTCACACTCCTGAGTCTAACACGCGAAGTCCGAACTACCGAGGATGCAAGTCCAAACTTTGCGTACTTGGTATTGAGAAACGCGCACAGACCTACGTCACCAGACTATTTGCCTAATCTTCTCGGTACTTTAGACCGCGATGGAAACGCAGACAGCAACAGGTCTGGGGGGAAAAAAGTTCCTGGGACAAATAGTTCCAGGTAATTTTGGTGGAAAAGTGGCTTAATATAGCTAGCTAGATAGACAGACAAACAAGACAGACAGACTTAAACTTGTAACATTTTGCCAAAACATTGAAACACATTTGTAAGCCTCACTTTTGCCTTTAGGCAATTCAAGTCAATGGCACCTATGGACTAAGTGAACATCCAACTCAAAATGCCAATACGGTTTTGAAAATGTCAAGAGAATAGTGTAAGCTCAGTGTAACACTACACTGTGACGTCTGCTTGAGCTTGAAGTATCTCAGTTCTTCTGTTGTCTTCAGTGGAAGCTGACCTGCTTTGCACACAATTCAGATTCCTCTGAGAATTCAAATGTTCTGCGATGATGACAAAGCTCTTGAGGTTGCTGCGTTCCTTTCAGAAGTCACTCACGTCGGAAAAAAGGCATAAGTGATCTCAGAGGCGACTGACAGAGAGTGATGACAATGAATTTTAACAACAGGGACAACAGGCACACACCAGGATGAGATGATGGATGAGGCCAAATAGAGAAAAGCCATGATGCCATGCCGTGCCGTTTACCTGAGGGGAGAGACCTGCGGTTTGACAGGCCATATAAGGTGAAGCGCTTTCTAGCGAGAGCAGATCGCTCTGAGCCGAGGCTGGCTGATGTGTCAGCTATAAGAGGAGAGGAGGACAGGACTGCAGTTAAAGCAGCAGGCAGAAAAGTGTGGAGGGTGAGGTGAACAGCAGGGAAAAGAGATCAAGGATCTGTCATGAAAAATAATCGTTTTGTCTGTGATGGAGCGGCACATATATGCTGCTTTTGTTGTATTAACCCATTCAGGTGATATCAGGTGTTATGTTTCCCCATACAGTAGAAAAGCAAACTTTTAATTACCTGCCAAAAAAAAAAAGTTTATTTACCAAACAATTCTATGCGGCACACCATGGATAAGTGATAACTTTCCAGATATGAGATATATTCAGATATTAGACCTTCTTGGAAACAAAACAGGACTCAGGATCTTGTTATACATGTTTAAGTCACATCATACTGTACAAAAACATACAGTAGAAGATGCATTTTTGAGATATTTTAGGGGGGAAAAAAACAATTCCTGGAGGTTTGACTGAATGATCAAACTTGGCTTACAATAAATCAGAGGTGAGAAATGCACTAGACTGAGGAGACATTAAATAGCTGACGTTTCATGGCTAAACCAGTATTTTGGCCAAAATAAACCACATATATGACTCTTCAAAAGTTTGGGTTAATAAGATTTCTTTTTATCATTTTTTTTTTAATTAACACTTATTCAGCAAGGATGCATTAAATTGATCAAAAGTAACAATAAAGACATTTATTATGCTACCAAGGTTTTTATTACAAATAAATGCTGTTCTTTTGAACTTTCTATACATCAAACAATCTTTAAGAAATTTATCATGGTTTCCACAAAAATATTAAGCAGCACAATTGTTCGCTTGATAATAATAAGAACATTGATAATAATAATAATGATCGACCTATTAGAATGATTTCTGAAGGATCATGTGACACTGAAGGCAGGAGTAATGATGCTGAAAATTCAGCTTTGCATCACAGGAATAAATTACATTTTAAAATATACTAAAATAGAAAACAGTTATTTTAAATTGTAATAATATTTCACAATTTCACTGTTTTACTGTATTTTGATCAAATAAATGCAGTCTTGGTTAGCTTAAAAGTCTTTTCAAAAACATTTTTTAAAAATCTTCACTTAATTTTTTTTAAAACTAACTTTTAATATTTAAAACAAATCTTCAAAAAACAAACTTTTTAAGGTAGTGTATCTTTTTAAGATTTTAAGAATAGCATATAAATAGTTATTTATGTCTACAACATAAATTACCATAGATAAATCAAACTTTTGAGCAGATATTGTGTAGAATATTGAGAAATATTACAGATAATATTTTTTTACAAATAAATGGAATTTCTTAGAAATGAAGTAAATAAATATTTCATGTTCATTTCATTTGTGTGAATAAATTGTATAATATCTGCATTATATTATACTCTGTATACTGCGTCAGCAGCAGCTTTTGAAAAAAAAAAATAAAGCATCGGGTAACAGCAATCTATAACATAAGAGATATTTAAGAGGCATCAAAGACTGAGGTGAGATATGTTTTTGAGTGTAAAACATCTCCAGCCCAGGTCAGAGACTCGTAATCCTCTGCCTCCAGGCTGGGTTTGGCTGGGTCAGCACACAGAGGACTTCTATCCTCAGAGGAACTAAACACCTGTCACAATCCTTTACTCACTTAAAATCTGCAACCTGACAGGACGGTAAGACCAAACCGAGCGATATTTACCCCAAACCACCTCTCCAGACGCCAGCACATGATGAAGTACACAAGAGCAGTCCAGGTCAGACCAACCGACACGACAGAGGACTCAATACATTCAGCATTATAACAGATTCATCGCAAAATACCAGGGCCGGATTTACCTCTTTTCGTGACATAGGCAAAACAAATTTTTGGGCCCCCCTTCCCTATTAATATAATAGGCCTAATATTACCACCCAAGCAAACAAAAATATTTCTTAATCAGTGGAAACAGTTACAGTGTTTTATATCGCAATAAGCGCTTGCGTTTAGTCAATAAAAATCGAATGTAGTTCTTAATTTCTTTGAGAACTCAGAAAGACCATTCCATTAATAGGCGCGGCGACGTGGCCACATAACCACTTCGGGAGTGCATTATTTCTCTAATAATTTGAACGACTTATGCAACCACCACCTCAAGACATTGTTCAGATGATTTATTTTAGGACATTTGACATGTTTCTGTCCTGAAATCTCGTGTGTGTTGAACTAGCCAATTTTTACGCACCTCATCCCAAACCTTTCCGTTGCAAATTCCAAAACGTCATTTTAGAGCTAGTAACAGAGGCTTGAGCCATTGATATGCAAGCTAAAACAGTTATTAATGCAGTCTAACGCAGTTATTAGAGGGAGAGAGAGAGAGAGAGATTTTGCACGTGTGAATACTTGCGTCTGTGCATCTCTCAGCAGTATTCAGCAGCAGTGTCTACTAATAGCGAATCTTTAAGTTGAACTGCTTCAAGAACCTCGCTACTGAGAAATGTCATGCGAAACTATTTTATTGATAAATTCGCGGGGCAGTCGCAGCTCTGACATCCATAGTATAACAAAAATATTATATATCTCTTCATTGTGTTTGGGCCCCCCCCTGGACGAGCGAGCATAGGCACATGCCCAGAATGCCTATGTGTAAATCCGGTCCTGCAAAATACCTTGCCAAGGGGGATCAGGCTTTGAAGTGCTTTCCAGTAACCAATTATCCGTTGGCAATTTTACAGCCATTACAGCAGAGATTAGAGATAATGGCCTAATTAAGGAAAATGCACTAAATAGTTAAAAAGTAGGAGAGAGGAAGACAGACAACACTCTGAGATAAATAGCCTTTCACTACAAATGACCGTAAATCCGGAGTGCTTGTTGACCACTGCAGGCTCTGAAGGGCGAATACTTCTGATTGTTTGGTTGGAGAAACGGTAGGTTTTATACTAGATTCATAAGGGCTCTCACCTCGTTTATGACGCATATTTGGGCCTGTATCACTACGCCTGTAGCCAGTTTCTGGACTGGAAGAGTCAGACTGCCGGAGAGCTGTTTTGCGCATATTTCTGTCAATAAAAGCAAAGTCAGCAGAACACAATGGTAAAAAAATAGATGCAGATGGCACAAGAATATGCGTATGCATGCAGTGGCCCCTGAAGTATTTCAATTATCAAACAAATTATTTCACCAAAACGTTGCATTTAAAACAATAAAAAACTATATATGCATACATACACTATCGTTCACAAGTTTGGGTTCAGTAAGTTTTTTTTATTTTCTTTTTTAAATAAATTAACATTTTCATTCAGCATGGATGCATTCAATTGATCAAGAGTTACAGTAAAGACTTCTATTGCAAAAAAAAAATTCTATTGCAAATAAATGCTTCTCTTGTGAACTTTGTATTCATCAATGAATCCTGAAAAAAATGAACGACGGATTCCACAAAAATATGAAGCACCACAACTTTTTTCAACATTAATAATAAGAAGAATTGTTTCTTGAGCACCAAATCTGCATATATAAATGATTTCTGTAGGATCATGTGACACTGAAGACTAGAGAAAATTCAGTTTTGCCATCACAGGAATAAATTACATTTTAAAATACATTAAAATAGAATAAGACTTATTGTCTAAAAACATAAATTGTTTCTTGAGCACCAAATCTGCATATATAAATGATTTCTGTAGGATCATGTGACACTGAAGACTAGAGAAAATTCAGTTTTGCCATCACAGGAATAAATTACATTTTTAAAATACATTAAAATAGAATAAGACGTATTGTCTAAAAACATTAAAAAAATCTTACAGACCTCAAACTTTTGATGTTTGGTTTACAGAAACAGACTGCATTTAAACACACGAGAATATTTCAATATTAATAAGGATTTTGTCATATTATTCATATTCACACGTCCGATAAAGTAAACATATTAGCCTAATTTCCATAAAACAATACTGTAGTTTCTAGAAATCTGAATAAAACAGATAATGTGCTTAGTACTGTACAGCGTTAGTCAGAAGTGTGAGTCACTCTATTATATCCACCATAAGTAAATATACGTTTGCATCTACAAACAAAGAGTAATTTGGTTTGTTATTAGATGCAGACAGCAACTGAATAAAGACATTTTTGGAGTGAGGAGGAAGTAAAACAACAGTACTAGAGCAAAAAGATATATTAATTAAAATTACAAAATGAACTTTCTGGCTGTCAAACATTAATGTGAAGAACTACACCCATGGTTACCCAGACACCTGTGTAAACTTAAGGGAAGTTAACTTTACAGTACATACAATAAACACCACACTGGGGCCGGTTAGATAAGAGGAAAATTAAAAATGGCTATAAGATACCTCATGGGAGCATGGTAGATGTTCTCTGTAATCTTCTGATGGAGTTGACTGGCTTCTATGCCGTGAGAGAGAGAGAAAGGTCATACAGAGGTCATTCAGTGTTCACATACTATATTCACACAGCACACAAAACACCTCCAGAATTTTTAATAATTGCGATTATCAATTACGATTATCACAATTTACATTGAATGATGTTTATACCATTGTTTGATGCAACTGCATGCCGTATTTTTATATGAAAATAAACAAGCTGAAAACACTCTAACTGAAAAACTTTTAGTGCTTTTCTATAGTATTAAGCCTCACATGTCAAATACACATCGGATTGGTTTCTTCTTTAAATTATAAAAAAATGTAAAAAAAATATGAATGGTATTATAATGTTATACTAAAACTACAACTATAAGATAAGATAACATGTAGAAAGAAAAAAACATATCTTAAGCGTGCAGAATAACATAAGTGGACTTTGAACGATTAATTGCCGCTTTGAACGATTACGTAATTGTGGCATCCATAATTGTAATTGCGATTAGAAATTCGATTAATTGTGCAGCCCTACTAAGCAACCATGAAAACTAAAAACTTTAGATAACATCATGTTATCTCTGTCAGATAGACTCACAACAGTCAAATTCTTTCTTTAGGGGTTTCCAAGCACTGAGAAGAACTGTGTAAACAGTCTTTTTTTTTATGCAAAAAAAGTTAAGAAGGTGAGGTTGTTTCAGGTTGTCATTGGGAGTTTACAAGTAATTTTGGCTTTACATGGCAAATCAAGTTTTCTTCAGGGTAGTTTGTAACAAGTTAGACAAAGTTTTTTATTAGACTGAGACCATGTGAAGGGGAGGTTTGCACAGAAATACCTCGGCAGGCTTCCAGCTGGCTTGTTAAGACTTTGCGGATCTCTGACACCCACGTGTTCTTCACTTCCATCGAAGGGGCCTGACAGAGAATTCAGGACATGTTATAACAATGGGAACCTTCCTGTTTTGGGGCACTGTTGCCAAGTTCCCTCTCATGGCCAATATATGGAACAACATGGTACTTCCCAAAAACAATATCGATTAGATAAAATGATAAAGGCTGACAGGGCACCTATAAAATGCACAGGAACTTTCACAACAGCATACAATACAATAACGGACTCAACAGTTGACCAACATTTGGTCAACAGAAACATTTTTGCATGGTCACACACTGTTTGGACCCCACTTTGTATACTCAAAATTATTTATTATGTTAATAAAACACAATTGTGTGTCTTGTGACATTGAGCTGTACCTGAACGATGTAAACTTCCTCCCTGCCATTGTACCAGATTTCAAACTTCTTGATGTCTCCCTTGACATTTTCTGTGATTCCCACCGAGCTCATCTGGGGGGAAAAAAACACACCACTGATCAGTTTCTCACCTGATCAAATGTAATATGATCTAAAATGTGTTTTTAGCTTGTCCCACACAAAATTTGCTATTAATCATTTTGATACACTAAAAATATATATATATATATATATATATATATATATATATATATGCATATATGCGCGCACACACACACACACACACGTCTCTCTGTGTGTGAGTGTTGGGTCACCAGTCAATGTAAAACCAGTTGGGAACCACTTCTAGAGGGATCTCGAGGGAATTTTTTTTTTTTGAATCCATGTATAATGCCACAATAAACAGAAAAAGATGTTAAATATTTGCTCTGAAAATAAATGAGAACTTAAAGCAAATAGGAAGTTGCTACATTGTTCAGCGTTCAGTGTGCCTTCAGTGTAGACATGAAGCTCATTCTGTACAGCCAGACGTCAACCATTTCATTACTTTCATTACTTCATCTGACAGTCAGTGACGGGGTCCTTCCCACCTTTAATGAGTGCTTGAAACTGTAGGAAGGGGATTTCTCATGACCATCAGATGTCTCCTCTCGTTTCTTGCAGAACAAAAGCATTTTGTGGTAGAGGAAGAGATGTCTCTGCATGGGTTTGAAGCGCGCCAAGTCCTTCACTTTACTGTGACCTTTCTTATGGTCTGTCCAAACATTAAACGACCCCTGCATGAGCAGTTTTCCCAAATCATTCAGATTGCCCTGAAATCACACATACAGTAAGACTTAAATTAGCACACACACAAAAGCAGGTTCACAACATGCAAAATATTGACCTTCACATACCGTATTTGTTCAACATAAAAATTACTGCGATAAACATAATGTAACCTTATGAACCTCAAAACCCGTAATGGCGATCTGATGCATGGAGTCATTGACTGATTTGATGATGTCCAGCATTGTGGCCAGAGCTTCCTCCAGCTCAGCAGTGCCCTCTGAGTTCTTACTGCACTTCAGCATCTCCTGTAAAACGAGTAGAATGTGTGTGGAAAAAAAAAAACGGTTCAATTAGGGTTAAATTAAAAGATAGGTATCAAAACTCAAATGTTCCCAATCCAGTATTACAGGTTTTGTGGTTCCCAGAAGGAAAATAGCTTCATAAAAGTATTAAATACTGTCTTATTTTACATGTAAAATGAGTGAAAGTTCAGGAGTAGTATATTAGCGTAATTTAAGGTCAATAAAAGTAATCTGAGAGGTCGCCACGTTGATATACAAACAAACATATACAACAAACTAGAAAAAAGATGGGAAAAGACTTACCTTTAACATCAGTTGGTACTTAGTGATTCTCTGCACAGGCTTTAGCAGATATGCATCTAATGAAAGCTTGTGGTCCAACCTTTTCTGACACTCCTACATCAAAAAAAAAAAAATCATTAGGGAAGTGAAATTTTCACATACAGAAAGTTAGACTACCGTTTAATAAAAAAGTGGGGTCAATAAATAATTTTTCTTGAAAGAATTTACTTTTATTTAGCAAGGACTGATCAAAAGTGACAAAATGTATATTGTTTAAAAGAAAATTTGATTTATATTTCAAATAAATGCTGTTCTTTTGAACTTTTGTATTCATCAAAGAACCCTAAAAAAAGCATCACTGTTTTCCGCATATATTATGCAGCACAACTGTTTTGACAATAATAATAACTGTTTCTTGATCAGCATATTAGAATGATTTCCGAAGCATCAGTGACTGTAGCAATGCCTGCTGAAAATTCAGCTTTGCCATCACAGGAATAAATTACATTTTAAAATATGTTAAAATAGAAAACAGTTATTTCAAATGATAATAATATTTCACAATATTACTGTTTTTACTGTATTTTTGATCACATAAATACAGCCTTGGTGAACATAAGTCTTTCTTTCAAAAATATTAAGAAATCTTACTGACCCCAAACATTTGAATAGTGTATTGTGTATACACAGGGCTTAATTTGTGCCGGAACAAGCCGGATCCTGATCCGGCACCTCCGAATTTGTCCGAAATCTGATCCGGCACCTCATTTGACAGATCCCCTCCTCACGCTCCAATGAAAGACGTTTGTGTCGACCTATAGCGTGCATATATTTCATGAAAAAAACTTCTATTATGAGCAGGCTTGCCTAGCATCTACATTTGAAACAACAAACTTGAGCGCGCAAAGAGATGCGACGTGGCTGCTCTCACAAACCCGAATGCACGGATCCAATACTGATACACATGCGTTTTCTTTCTCAGATGTTTACATTTAGTTAAGACAAAACCGACTGTGCTTACGAGGATAATCGCCAGGACGGCCATTTTGACGTCATTTTTTGTGTGTATTTGGCCGCGTAAGCGCAACAAGCTGCGAAAAATAACTCAATTTGGTACTCGCGAGGCGGCGCGATATAGTTTTGTGACGATACAACAATGACTCGATTAGGCAAGTGGCAATTCTGTCGACTGTCCCGAAACCCGAGCAAAAGTCTTGTATCGCAGCGTGCAGTAGTGCAGACGAGATGCGCTGCTGTGAAGCCGCTTTGAGAGTGAGAGAAGACGCGGTACAGCTGAATCACTCACGCTGTTTTCAAATGACTGATTTAATCTGATAGTATGTGTGGATTTATTTACTCATCTAACCTACATGCTCTATTGAATATGTTTGCAGGAATTTCCCTCATTATAAACTCGAAAGCAGATTAAACATAATTCTATTATACAGAGATTTAAGGAAAAAAATCCATGACTTTTCCAAAACTTTTCCAGGCCTTTTCAATTTTTTTCATGACCGTAAGAAGATGCAAGCTGTTAATCAAGTAAGCTGGTCCTCCATTGCGAGAATGCTCCATTACCTCTCCCTCCTCTAATCATGCCGGATCCGTCGCCCGCCTTTGTTCCGGGACCGTGCAATTTACAAATTAAGCACTGTGTATACATAGGTGTGCGTACATAAGCCTCACCTGAAAGAACATACTGTCCCCACACTGCCGCCACAAAGCCTCAGATCGCGGTTTATTCTGACAATATTTCTCATAAATCTGTAACTCTTCCTTCTGTTAGACAGCAGATGGAGACAAGCGTTAGGATCCCATTTCACATACTGTAGGTGTACTGTATTTCACAGACCACATCTTCATGATGTCACTCACCCGCTTCAAAAAACATGTTCCTACTAACTCCGGCTTTTCTGCAGAATTTTCCAGCTCTTTGAGAAATGTCCTGTCAAAACATAATGGAACAAATGAGTACAGAAACAAAATAAATAACTGGAGGGAATGAGAGGACAACAGGCAGGGAAATGGCACAAAAAAAAGGAAAGGAGGGAGCTTGGTAGAAAAAGAGTTTCATATTTTTCAAAAGAATTAGAGTTTTATTTCTTCAATGTAAGAGAGAGAGAGAGAGAGAGAGAGAGATTGCTCTTTTCCAGGGCCTGTAAAGCTCCAAAAAGCACAAAGAAGCACCTTACAAGTAGTATAATATAATAATAATATTAACAAAATATAATAATAATAAAACATAATATAATATAATATAATATAATATAATATTTTAAGTCTAATGATTGGTCACCATTCATTATATGAAAAAGAGTAGCATTAATATTCTTCTAAACTTCCCCTTTTATTTTGCACAAAAAAAAAAAAAATCAGGCAAGGAAAGACAGGAGGTTGAATAAATGATGCCAGAATTTTCAGTTTTGGGTGAACTATCCCTCCACTCTCCTTTCACTGAATCATTGCATGACTTCTAAGAAAAGCCTGTTTATATTTCATCTCTGTCAAACAAATCAATAACTAAATGAATGTCCAATATCAACAACAAACACAAAAGCCTTTGAGAACTCACGCTTTCATTACTGACATAAAAGCACAAAAACAAAGCTACAGCTGGGAATGATGAGCAATGATTAGCGGTTGTTTATCTGTAACTGACTGATGCGGTAGAAACAGGTGCCGGGGAAAGGCATTTGGGGAGACACACAAACTTGCTCGGGGGGTTGTCATTGCCATAATCCTGGACTTTGCTGTAACCCGATGCCAGGTGGGAGACAATGAACTCTACAAGAATAATCGGTAGCATGAGGCCAGCCGAACAACGGGCCAGCTAGCCCCTATGGATTATTAGTGACACTGACTTTACAATCCAATACTACAATCCACAAAACCCCACCCCCATTCCCGACACATTATTGTTTGTCTCTCACTCACTATACAAAAAAACTCTTTGTGGTTAAGATGACTTCCTTGAATTGTGGGTGTGAAGTTTCCTCTATATGGAAGTATCAGAAAAGAAACTAGCCTAACCAGTTGTCCAAGAGCCTCGTCAGGAATGTGGGAGCATATTGGGGGAGGGTCTGGCTCATACTGGAAAAGGGTGCAATCCCTTCTTGAAAAATCCAGCTTGAGCTGCTAGCAGTGTTTTGGAACATGGCAGCTGGTTTCTAGCTGGTGCAAACTGGTAAGAACAGCTGGTGGTTTGTTGCTTGTCCAAGGTGGTCTACCAGACTGAACCAGCAAATGATTAGTTCTGACAAGCTAGAAAGCACATATTATGTCCTTAAGTTGGAGATGTGTCAGAAAAAAAAGTTTCCTTACTTCTGGTGAAATTCGTAGATTTCAGGCAGATTTCCGAAGAGGACTTCCTTCTTGTTTTCCAAAGATGGTGGGATCAAGTAGAACAGCTCGGGGTCATTCAGTGCGGCGGCATATCCCTGCATAAAAAAATAAACATGACAACAAAACCGCAGTCAAATATTTCAACTGATATAACTAAAGCTGATGCACTTATGACATTCATTTACATTACTTGTACAATTTTTTATTTGTGATTTGTATGAGATCTGTATGAGATTCTGAGTAATTTATTAGGTTTTTAACATTTGTCAAACATTATTACATAGGTGTTTTTCAAATATTTTAATATATATCCCGTGATGCAAAGCTGAATTTTCAGCAGCCATTGCTCCAATTTTTTGTGTCACATGATCCTTCAGAAATCATTCTAATATGCTGATTTGCTGCTCAAGGAACATTTCTTATTATTGTCAATGTTGAAAACAGTAGAGTTTTATTTCTTCAATGTAAGAGAGAGAGAGAGAGAGAGAGAGAGATTGCTCTTTTCCAGGGCCTGTAAAGCTCCAAAAAGCACAAAGAAGCACCTTACAAGTAGTATAATATAATAATAATATTAACAAAATATAATAATAATAAAACATAATATAATATAATATAATATAATATTTTAAGTCTAATGATTGGTCACCATTCATTATATGAAAAAGAGTAGCATTAATATTCTTCTAAACTTCCCCTTTTATTTTGCACAAAAAAAAAAAAAATCAGGCAAGGAAAGACAGGAGGTTGAATAAATGATGCCAGAATTTTCAGTTTTGGGTGAACTATCCCTCCACTCTCCTTTCACTGAATCATTGCATGACTTCTAAGAAAAGCCTGTTTATATTTCATCTCTGTCAAACAAATCAATAACTAAATGAATGTCCAATATCAACAACAAACACAAAAGCCTTTGAGAACTCACGCTTTCATTACTGACATAAAAGCACAAAAACAAAGCTACAGCTGGGAATGATGAGCAATGATTAGCGGTTGTTTATCTGTAACTGACTGATGCGGTAGAAACAGGTGCCGGGGAAAGGCATTTGGGGAGACACACAAACTTGCTCGGGGGGTTGTCATTGCCATAATCCTGGACTTTGCTGTAACCCGATGCCAGGTGGGAGACAATGAACTCTACAAGAATAATCGGTAGCATGAGGCCAGCCGAACAACGGGCCAGCTAGCCCCTATGGATTATTAGTGACACTGACTTTACAATCCAATACTACAATCCACAAAACCCCACCCCCATTCCCGACACATTATTGTTTGTCTCTCACTCACTATACAAAAAAACTCTTTGTGGTTAAGATGACTTCCTTGAATTGTGGGTGTGAAGTTTCCTCTATATGGAAGTATCAGAAAAGAAACTAGCCTAACCAGTTGTCCAAGAGCCTCGTCAGGAATGTGGGAGCATATTGGGGGAGGGTCTGGCTCATACTGGAAAAGGGTGCAATCCCTTCTTGAAAAATCCAGCTTGAGCTGCTAGCAGTGTTTTGGAACATGGCAGCTGGTTTCTAGCTGGTGCAAACTGGTAAGAACAGCTGGTGGTTTGTTGCTTGTCCAAGGTGGTCTACCAGACTGAACCAGCAAATGATTAGTTCTGACAAGCTAGAAAGCACATATTATGTCCTTAAGTTGGAGATGTGTCAGAAAAAAAAGTTTCCTTACTTCTGGTGAAATTCGTAGATTTCAGGCAGATTTCCGAAGAGGACTTCCTTCTTGTTTTCCAAAGATGGTGGGATCAAGTAGAACAGCTCGGGGTCATTCAGTGCGGCGGCATATCCCTGCATAAAAAAATAAACATGACAACAAAACCGCAGTCAAATATTTCAACTGATATAACTAAAGCTGATGCACTTATGACATTCATTTACATTACTTGTACAATTTTTTATTTGTGATTTGTATGAGATCTGTATGAGATTCTGAGTAATTTATTAGGTTTTTAACATTTGTCAAACATTATTACATAGGTGTTTTTCAAATATTTTAATATATATCCCGTGATGCAAAGCTGAATTTTCAGCAGCCATTGCTCCAATTTTTTGTGTCACATGATCCTTCAGAAATCATTCTAATATGCTGATTTGCTGCTCAAGGAACATTTCTTATTATTGTCAATGTTGAAAACAGTTGTGCTGCTTAATATGTTTTGTGGAAACTGTGGTGCATTTTTTAAGGATTCTTTGATTAATAAAAGGAAAAAAATCAAAAGAACAGCATTTGTTTGAAATATAAATCTTTTGTAACATCTCTACTCTGTCAATGATCAATTCAATGCGTCATTGATGAGTAAATGTGTTCATTTCTCTAAAAGAAATCTTACTGTTCCCAACATTTTGAACGCTACATGCATTTGCAATGTGTGCCAGTCAAACTGCAACAGTTTGCAACAACATTTCCTGTTTCCTGAGTTGAACTGAAAGATACATGTACCTCTATAATGCTCTGCAGCTCTTCCACGTACAGCCTCTCCGTCTCAATCAATTCATTCATTATGTGGCTGTTGAGAATTAAAAATTAAAAAATTAAAAATCAGCATTTTGTCAAACAAAGGTCAGAACATTGGTGTGATGAGAGACACTGTTGAAGATGAAAGCTTCAGTATGAACATGACTCTCATAAAGCCATCCAACTATATAGTGTCAGGTAAGGTTTGTAGAATACTTCTTTTTACATCCGAAAATAAACAAAGCTACTAATGATGGCTGTTACACTTTAACATATTTTGCAAATCTGGAGCACTGACACGTCATCTAGCACTAACGAAAAAAGGGCAGCTCAGTTTTCATTTCTGTGTCATTGCTAAAATCTCAACTAGTTTGTTGCAATTCAGGAACTAAAACTCAAAACGTCTTCAACATTTTGTTCTTCCTATAAAATGCGAGCTACTATAACACCTCAAATGACCCTTCAGAAATCAGATTTTATTGGATCTTATTTTGTCTTAACCAGCTCTCCTCTAACACAGACCAAGACCAATGAATTACATTTATTGTGCTGAGGAGTGGCCTGCTTATGTGCATCAGATGACCCAAGTTCCATGTTTCTGTCAGAGAAGGCTCTCTTTTCACAGTTTGTTCATATGATGAAGTTGGCCAATGTTTAAAAAGAGGCATGTACTTTCCCCCCTCCCACCCATAAGGAAACACTCCCGTTCAAATACAAGCTCATCTAGCAGCTACACACTACTGCTTTCAGAACAGTTGCAACAATACGAGTGAAGTCCAGGGTTCAAAAACAAATACTTTTACACATTTACTACATCATGGATGGGCCACAGTCTCGATGGTAAGTCATATATTTCACTTAGTTTTTGACTAAACAGAGTTTCTGCCAGGAGATCTTTCTGAAAACAGCAAAAAAAGATTTAACTTCTGGAAGCCAAGTACAAAATGTCTTTCCATTGGTATGTCAAGCCTTACAGACCTCATGCTAAATTTACCCAGTAACTGTGAAGTCTGAGTATTAAATGCGATTTTCAGAGAGAGAGAGAGAAAAAAAAAAAACACCAAGCCCTTTTTCGGGTGAAATCAGTCTGTTCTTTTAAACATGCTGTAAGTATCATATGATTGCCTGAGCTATTTAAATGTGAACTTTTGCTTGGGGTGTTTTTCATAGGAGTCACTTAGGGTGTTTTATAACATTTAAAATGCAAGTAAAATGTAAATACAGCTGAAAAATACTTGCTGATGAAATGTCATAAGAGATTGTGATCATAGAGATAAAGTGGGCAAAACTTAAAAATAAACAGGAGTTGAACAGGTCATGAAGATTAAATATACTTTTTAATGGCACAAAACAGTATTGAAATTAGTGAATAAATTCACAAAAAATGACAAGATAATGAAAATAAGGAAACCAACTTCATTTGTACAGCACAGCACACAAAGCAGAGACGTATTAAAATCTACATTAATAATCTTTTTTTATGTATAACTTTTCTTGTAATCCTTCATTAATGTATAATAATTGCACAGAACAGCTGGTGTGAATAGGTGATCCAGTTTGTCAGATGATACCTCCTGCTCCTGGCACTCCTGGCTCCTGGGATATTATGACATGCATTGTTGTTGTGTCGTGCCTTTTGAGTAGATTTGCTGCTGTAATGATCTTTTCGTGGTCGTGAATGTTTTGTACAGCACTCAGCAGATCAGTGTTCGGTGGTTTAAAGCCTTCTTTTATTCAACGTAGCGCTGAGTCGACGATTGCTTTCATTCACAAGATCGATTCGCAGAGTCCCCCCACATGGTCAAGGTTTTGAATGAGCTATTGCAACAAATGCTGTAAATAGGCAGCATTTGTTTAAAAAATTATGTTGTTTTGAAAGCAAATAGCTTATATGTGACTGCCATGATTTTAAATGTTTTTTTTTTTTTTAAGAAATTAATACTTTTATTTAGAAAGGATGCATTAAAAAATCTAAAGTGAGAGTAAAGATTTCTACAATGTTGCAAAAAGACTTCTAGTTCAAATAAATGCAGTTCTTTTGAATTTTCTATCCATCAAAGAATCCTGGAAAAAAAGGATTGAAACATTCCGAATCAGAAATCATTTCTAAAGGTTCAAGTGACACTGAAGTCTGGAGTAATGGCTGCTGAAAATTCAGCAGGAATAAATGATGAGATTTAAAATATATAAAAATAGAATACGTAATATTGTAGAATCTTTATTTTTAGAATATTTATGTTTTTACGGTATTTTTAGTCAAATAAATGCAGCCTTGGTTAGCATCTAAAAAAAAAAAACATCTTACCGACCCCAAACTTTTTAATGTTAGTGTGTGTAAATATATAGTATTTACAGTTTAAAAATAATAAAATAAATATATTTTAAATGTATTTTTGCTATTATTGTTATCAGTTTCATATCGTTTATAATCAACAAAGAGCCAATTCAATGAATTAACTTCATAAAAGGCCATAAAGGTTGTTTCTTAAATTATGATTATAATCTCTATACCCTTTGAAATAATCATTCTTCTTTCTTTACAGAACACAAATACAGTGTTAATGCCATTTAGTGGATTGTCTTCACTCCGAAAGCACGTAAGAATTAACGTTTTTTGCGAAGTGTAAAAAAAAAAAAATGGACTCAAAAAGGCGGAAAATGTTTTGGGTTAATGCTTCTGGTAGGCCAACCCATCTGCATTGAGATAACTACAATGGAACTCAGGCAAACCCATTCCTGGAAAATCATTGAGAGCAGTACATCTGGATTGCATTACTGGACTTGACAAGAAAGAGGGGTCGAGAGCGTCCGCAGCCTAGCAGAATGTTCATGAATTGCAGAAGGGTGAAAAAATGGCATTTTCTACAGCTTGTCTCCATGTGCTGTGTCATGTCTGTCCTTATGGTTTGCTGGGACCATGTGGGCCACCACGTTGTGAGCCACGTGAAGTCGTACTCCTACCGCTACCTAATCAACAGCTATGATTTCATCCACAAAAGCCTCAGCGTCAGCCCAGAGCAAGCCGCTAGGTTTGGTAGCTACCCGTATTTGCTAAACAACAAGGACATTTGTAAAGACAAAAACGTGCTGCTTCTTCTCTTTGTGAAGTCCTCACCAGGAAACTTCAGAAGACGACAGGCCATACGCTCCACTTGGGGCAACGAGTCCTACATAAGACACAAGCTGGGTGTTATCATAAAAGTAGTGTTTGCAATGGGAGTTCACCCTGACGTGCTCTCTGATAGCTTGCAGCAGAAAAAAATGCACAAAGAGTTGCACAAGGAGCACATGAACCATGGTGACCTGGTTCAGCAGAACTTTCTTGACACATTTCACAACCTCACTATGAAACTGCTGCTTCAGTTCCGCTGGACACACGAGAACTGCGTCCACACCCGCTTCCTCATGTCTGCTGACGATGACGTCTTCATCCATTTGCCCAATTTGGTACGCTACCTTCAGGACCTCAGAAGACAGAACGTGCGCAACCTTTGGGTCGGCCATGTGCACAGGGGGGCGCCTCCCGTTCGGCGCAGGGACAGTAAGTACTACATGCCCTTCGATATGTACCAGTGGTCGTCCTACCCAGATTACACCGCCGGGGCGGGGTACGTTGTCTCTGGCGACGTAGCAGCCAAAATCTATCAGGCCACGCTATCTCTGAATGCCTCTATGTATATCGATGATGTCTTCATGGGTATCTGTGCCATTGCAGTAGGCGTCTCTCCTCAGGAACATGTTTTTTTTTCGGGTGAGGGGAAAACGCCCTATCACCCGTGCATCTATGAAAAAATGATCACCTCTCATGGACACGAGAACGATATCAGGTATCTGTGGAAGGTTGCTACCGCCCCACAGGTAGAAGGTTTTTCGTCTGGACTGGTTGGGAAACTGTATTGTACAGCTGTGAAAATGAAGCTGCTTTGTAAGCCGTACTTTACAAACACGTATTCATGCATGGCAGCTTTTACATGATGCACTGTGAGCTTTATGAAGTCCGAGCAGTATTTCAGCTTTTGTTGTTTGTTTGTTTGTTTTTGTTTACTTTTGCTTTAAATGTTAAATATTTGGTCATTTCATAATAAAGTTCAAAAGCTATGCGCCCTAAGCATTTGTTTTGCACTTATGCTTTTTTAATTTTAATTTGTATTTATTTATTTTTTCATGTACAGTGTCGGGCGAGAGAGCATGAATGCGATGGAAACATGATAGGCATCAAACGCATATTATCTACATGAACATGACATGAGTCTCACAAAACTTGTCAAGGTCATATTTCACTCCAAAATCCCCCCCCCCCAGGGTATACATATAAAATAAAAATAGATAAAGTGATTTTGAAACTGTTATGATTTTTCCCACAAATTCTAATCACCATAATAAAAAAATACTATAATTATCATGAATTGAGAATGAGAATTACAAAACTAAAAAATAAGGAGAAAATGAATAATAAAATGTAATTAATACTTAATATTAGTAAAACCAATATTAAAACCAATATTAGCATTTAATTAATTATTATATTTTTTTAATCAACATGAAAATAATAATTTAAAAAATGGCCCCAATAACAGCCTTTTTCTTAATCCTTTTTTTTTTTTTTTTTTTTTTTTTTTTACAGTCATTGGAGTAAAATGGGCTTGGACATGTTTCGTGAGATTTAGCTGTGGTCAGTTTCTGTTCTGGTGTACTGTTAGTTTCAGTTCCTATGTATTACACCATCGTAACGGTATAAGACTAAGAAGGAAGACTTTTCACTGTGGAATGCTATTAGAGAGTGTGGACTTTCTTTCATGTTGCAAATGTCATATGCTTCTGCTTAAAGCTCTCAAACCTTTCAATGAAATGATGATTAAAATGGTGCTACTTGTGAAGAAGGATTTTACATTTTGCTACAATAAATCAAAGCCTATTGAGATTTATTGCATTGTGACATTATTATCATGACAACTAACCCTCAAATCTCATCACCGTATACAAAACTATCTTATTCTTGGTACTATAACGTGAAATTACTGTATTACCGAATAGAATAAGAATCACCACTGA